GCTTACAATACAACAGAGGAATCGACTATAACTACAGCATTGAACAGAGTCAATACTTTGGTTCAATGAACTTCTAGATGAAACAGTTGTTGAAACGAATGTTTCAGCTAGGGTAGCTGAAACTTTAACAGGGCTGAGTAAGGGATGAGTACATGAATTCAGTTTGCCATTCAATTCAATTCAATTCAATCTGCCACAAATGCTGGCGACGGGAATGCTTCCACTTGGTTCTCGGAGTGCCGTCACTAGAAACTCTTTCTGGCCTTTTGACTTATTGCATTAACATCTCACACTTCTACTGCATCCTATTCTATCGATCGATTTGTCTCTACTCTCCAAAATCGCACGCTTTAACCCGATTCTTTCATTGCGTCGCCTGATACGTAGCCGCCCCAAGGCGGACTTCTTTCCATGCCCCGCCTTTGGCTCCGCGCCATTACCTTCGATTGTCCATAGAGTGTGGTTTTTGTAAGTTTGTTTCTCTTCGGAAACCGAATCTTTGTGCGTGAAACTTTGTATGTTGTCTCTAGTGATCACAACTGACATATGCGTGTTCGAGAAAGAATGCAAGATTTTTCCTGGAAGGTCCTTTAAAGTCAACGCCTTAGCAAAAACCGATCCAAGAGCAAACCGTAGCATGCATGAGACAAAAGTGAATTATTCCAGAAGACTCTTCGTGCTTTGGTGTTCTGTTGATTTCGAAGTTGTCCGAAGCAATGGTAAGCTATTCTTCACAAATATCCACATGGGTGTGAAACTTAGCGATGTTGTAGAAACTCTTCGTGCTTCTACTAGTCGTCCGTCTATCGTTATCAGTTCTCGCACACAAAGCGCATGATCACGGTCGGTATCTACAGCTTAGATTCCCGCAGAAAAGTCGTGCTTCTGATTCACTAACTCTCACTTGCAGATGCACTTCGAGCTAAGGAAATCCCATTGGAAGCGCAGAGGCTTACCGGTGCACCACTGGTAGAATATCTCAAGAGTAACCAGGAACTCTTCGAGGTAGTCCACAAAGCAATTTCGGGTGCCGGACAGGAGACCCATCGCGCGACGAGAAGACAGAGACGCAAACGGTCTAGCGGACGAGTCGCAGCGTTGTCTTTTACGACTGGAACGTACATGCTACAGTGCAATCAATTTAACTTGACGCTAGCTAAATCGCTGCAGTACGCGCTGCAACTCGTCCGCCGACCCATCTGCGTCTCTGCCTTTTCGCCGCGCGACAGGTCTCTTGTACTAATATCACATGAGTATTCAAAATGCCCACTTTCAGGTTGATCCAAATCCTGATGAAAGATACAAGCGTCTGGTTATATCTGGAATACGGAACACCTCGAAAGAGCCAGCTACGCGGTAACTTCGAGAACGACAACGGCGGTGACATTCCAGTATAGTCAGTCATTCCACTATATGCATGGGCTGAGAAAGCGCTATAACAGATGGCTGCTATGAACTGGGTGGATGGGTCATTTCCAGTGCTAATTCATCCGGTGAAACGTGTTGCCAGCTGCCAAATCTTCTTCAACTAG